GATCCTTTTCCGGTTCCTTCGCGGAATCTATGAGATGCTCACTAAGGGGAGACATGATATTAGTAGGGGGAACGCGGTAAGACCGTTTGGGATTAAAGTGGAATGTGATAACTAGTTCCTATGCTTAGCATATTTATGTTTCAATCAACCTTAGGTATCTTATAACGTGCATACCATAATTTTCTTTAGAAAGGTTGTTATTCATTTGAATTATAGTCTCTTTGTAAAGTCCATTTCGTAATATTTTGTTTCCTTTTTCCTCTTTCTTTTCCTTCTCTGGTTTTCCTCTTGGGGGTTTGGTGGAGAGTTATGGGTAAACTCTTAGGATACCCTTACGAGAGCATCACTCGTCCTCTAGAGCGATCTAGGGGTTTAAATGGCTTGTTGTAGCTAAAAACAACCGTGATTCCTACGACAGTGAGTCTTAGTGTAAATTCTCGCCCCTCTTTTTCTTTTTGCTTCGAATAAGCCCTTCTTATTCCTTTTAGCCTTTTTTTTGCTCGGGACGAGCAAAAGTCTAGCTTGGGGGAATTTGATGAGTGTCATTTATGGCACTCATAGGGTAGTCTTTTAGGGTTATTTCTTTCCCCTTTTCATGCTTTCTTCTCTTATTTTTGGTCCATTTTCCTTTAGTTTCTCTTTTTCCTCTTTTCTTTATGATTCTCGTGTTTTTATCGTGTTTTCCTTTATTTGTCTCTTTTTCCCTTTTATTTCCTTTCTTTGTGTACTTGTGTAGGTATTGTGAGAATCACTTTGGCAAAGGATTAAATTTGGGACTTTAATGATCAAGCAAGGAAGAAGCATTTGGCTAGAGAGGGCTTAGAGAGGGCTTGGAGAGGCCTCGGAGAGGTTTCCAAGGCAAATCCAGCAGGCCGCGGGCGCGGGCCCATGTTACTCAAAATTGCCAAAACTTGGCAGGAACTTGCCGCGGTTGCCCCGCGGGCTCTCCGCGGGCGCGGGTAAAATGGAGAGGCCGCTCCATTCAGAGAGACCGCGACCTCCTGATCAGGCTTTGGGAGCAGGAGATTAGCTGCGGGCGCGGGTTTCACTGCCGCGGCACGGGGTCTGCCCAGATAGCCCGCGGAGGGTTTTGTACCCATTTTTTCCGCGGGCGCGGGTCTATCGAGAGAGGGCGCGGGAGCTGCCAATTTCTTCTTTGCTTGTAAATAGAATTGTATTTCCTTTTTGAAGGGGACTTTTTGATAATTTTCATTAGCTGAGTTTTAGAGAGAGAATCTAGAGAGAAGTTAGAGAGAAGTTCTTGGTTTTGGATTTGTAACTCAACATTTGATCAATCAAGTTTGGATTTCTTCATTTTCAATCATCAATATTAGTGAGAATCTCTTCCTTTTTTTATCTTTTACTTACTTGCTATTTGATTTTTGCTTGTTACTTGTTCTTCTTTGGATTTGAATTTGATATTGTTGATTATTTTTTATTTCTCTTAGATTTTGATATAGAAATGAAGATTAAAGCACTTTCTAGTTATTTGTTCTTGAATTTCACCATGATTAGTGAGTAGATTAGTTGCTAGGGAAAGGGGGAAGCATGTTTGATTAATGAAATTGCTAGTTGATGCTCTTTGATTGATTGGTTTCTTGCAATTAAATTGGTTGACATAGTTTTGCATGTGATTGATTAGACTAGGAGTGATCAACCTATAAGATTAATCTAGATTGCATTGCAACTCTTAATGACATGAACAATCGAATTGAAAGTTGCTCTAATTGATTGGGTTTGCTTGTGATTCTTCTTGATTTGCCTTTCATAGTGACACCTAGATTGGCTTATAGGAGACAGCATTTGAACTCTCTTGATTGCTACTATTGTTTGTCCATTGCAATACTTTAATTAATTGATTGAGCTCTAAATTAACATTATCATTGAACTTGCATGTGGAACCCATATCCCTAGTGTTTAGACCTTTGTTTTACTTGATTAGACTTGCTTTATTTTACCATAGTGCCAACCATAATATCAACTCCATCTTCGAGGTAGCTTGACTTAGACTCTAGTTTTCGTCATTGCATTCCCTAGGGATCGACCCTTAACTTGCCCTATATTCATATAAGGTTGGTTAGGTGTTTACAAATTTTGTTTGACTTGGGAAAGGGTAGATAACGACATACATTTTCCCCCTCGTCAACCCAAAAATCACAAATTTAGGAGAGAGAAAGTTACCTTGAAGATGCTTGAATGAGATTTTGACTAACAAAAACTAGTAAATTATGAATTTTGATGAAAAATTAATGAGGAAAATATGATGGAGATGAAGAGAAAACTAGAGCAAACACCAAATAAATCTAGAGTTAGAAAATGAAGTAGGAGAGAGAAGAAGAAGAAGAAAAATCGGATTAAAAAAAGGGCAAAGAGGGGGGGGGCACAACCTCAGGTGGTGCGGCCGCATAAGGGTGGTGTGCGGCCGCACAGTGGGCGTGTGCGCCCGCACCACCCTGGGTATACTTTTCCTCTTTTTCTTCCTTCCTCACTATGGTGCGCACACCTATATGATGGTGATGAACACCCATATAGGCAGTAGATAAACCCCTCATTTTGAAGATCCCTTATCTCCCGGATTGAACTCCTTTTTCTCAATTAGCTTATCATGCATCTCTTTGGTTCTAGCCTTATATAAGGTAGCACAATTATAAGCATCCAAATGAAGCTCTTCTAATTCATTCATGAAGATCCAACCAACGTTGTTCTCGCGCACTTGCCAAATCAAAGTTAATTTTCTTGATTGCCCAATGAGTGCGGTGCTCAAGCTCCACCGGAAGATGACAAGACTTCCCATAAACCAATCGATAAGGGGTGGTACCAATAGGAGTTTTGAAAGCCGTTCGATATGCCCACAAAGCATCATCGAGCTTGTTTGACCAATCTTTCCTACTCCTTGCAACTGTCTTCTCAAGAATCAACTTAATTTGACGATTAGACACCTCTACTTGCCCATTGGTTTGAGGATGATAAGGGAGCCCAATTCGTTGGTTCACTCCATGCTTCTTCAACATTTTCCGGAAAGCGTAATGCACGAAATGAGAGCCATTGTCGCTTATAACCGCCTTGGGAATGCCAAACCTTGGGAATATAATCTTCTTAAACAACTTCATTACCACCTTATGATCATTTGTTGGAGAAGCAATGGCTTCAACCCACTTTGACACATAATAAACGACAACAAGAATGTATTGATTCCCAAATGAAGAAGGAAAAGGACCCATGAAATCTATACCCCAAACATCAAAGATCTCCAACTCAAGAATCGGTTGTTGGGGCATCTCATTCCTTTTTGAAATATTTCCGGTCCTTTGGCATTGATTACAACTCTTGACAAATTCCCAAGCATTCTTGAAGAGGTTTGGCCACCATAAGCCACATTGAAGCACCTTAGAAGCCATTCTTGAAGTACCCATATGACCACCACTAGGATCCGAGTGGCATATCTTCAAAACATTTGGTATCTCTTCATTTGGCACTCACCAGCACAACAATCCATCCACACCTCTCTTATACAAAATCGGCTCATCCCACACATAATGCCTAGCTTCTCTCTTGAGCTTCCTCTTTTGATTGTTTGAAAAAGGAGGAAACTCCCCACAAGCAAGAAAATTTACCAAATCGGCAAACCATGAGAGCTCCTTCACATTGATGACATATAAGGAATCGTCCAACATCCGATCCTTAATAGGGGATCCATCATCTTGATCTTGAAAATCCTCAAGCCTAGATAAATGATCTGCAACCACATTTTTCGCTTCTTTCTTATCCCGAATCTCAAGATCAAAATATTGGAGCTCAAGAACCCAACGAATCAACCTTGGCTTAGATTCATTTTTTCCAAAGAGATACTTCAAAGCTGCATAATCGGTGAAAACAATAGTCTTAGACCCCAACAAATAACAACGGAACTTTTCAAAAGAATGAACAATCGCCAAAAATTCCTTTTCCGTTGTTGTGTAATTCCTTTGAGCACTATTTAGGGTCTTCAACATATAGTAGATGACATGGAGCTTCTTATCAATCCTTTTACCTAACACACCCCCAATGGTCGTATCACTAGCATCACACATGAGCTCAAAAGGCAAATCACATCTAGGGGCTTGTTCAATAGGAGTGGAAGTCAAAGCTTTCTTCAACTTGTTAAAAGCTTCCAAACAAGCATCATCAAACAAAAAATCGGCATCTTTTTGGAGAAGATCATTTAAAGGCTTAGCAATGAGAGAAAAGTCTTTGATAAACCTTCTATAAAACCTAGCATCTCCCAAAAACGATCTTACTCCTTTCACATTAACCGGAGGTGGCAATTTCTCTATCACCGCAATCATGGCTTTGTCAACCTCTAATTCTTTATGGGAGATTTTGTGTGGAAGCACAATCCCTTCTTCCACCATGAAGTGGCATTTTTCCCAATTTAGCACCAAGTTGACCTTTTCACACCTTTCAAGACACTTCCCAAGATTTTCGAGGCAATTCTCAAATGAAACTCCTCGCACGGAAAAATCGTCCATAAAAACCTCCATTTCTTCTTCTAGCATGTCCCCAAAAATTCTCATCATGCACCTTTGAAAGGTCGCCAGAGCATTACACAATCCAAAGGGCATTCTTCTATATGCAAAAGTACCATAGGGGCATGTGAAGGTTGTCTTTTCTTGATCCTCGGGATGAATAGGAATTTGAAAGAATCCCGAATATCCATCAAGGAAGCAATAGAATATGATTCCCGCATCCAAAAGCTTAGTGATCTCTTTCTTTACTACTTCTCCCATTTGGGGATGTAGTTTCCTTTGTCGTTCAATAGAAGGTAGGGTGCCCTCCTCAAGTGTTATGTGGTGTGTACACAAGGCGGGGCTTATGCCCTTAAGATCATCAATAGTGTACCCCAAAGCACCTTAGTTCTTTCTCAAGACACCACATAACGCTTGAGCTTGGCTCTCACTCAAGGATGCACTTACAATGACGGGATAAGTAGAATTAGGGCCTAAGAATTCATACCTAAGGTGTTATGGTAGAGGTTTGAGCTCTACCATAGGAACACCTTTACCTTCTTTGGTTGAGGCCACATGCAAAGCATCTTGACTTGATATCCCCATACAAATTTGATCATCACTCCCTTCATTGACTCTATCAAGCAAGTCCTCATACAATTGCACTTCCTTGTTTGGGATACCTATCTTTTCCTTGTTCAACAAAACACACTCAAGAGGATCATTAGATGTGAGCAAGTGCTCATGCATGGATTGCACAATATTATCAAGAACTTCAATTCTTATGAAATTCTCAAAAGAAGAAGAGGGATATTTCATGCCTTCATTCAAATCAAATTCAACTACCTCCTCTCCAATCTTAAGAGATATCTTAGCACTTTTGACATCAAACATAGCCCCCGATGTAGCAAGAAATGGTCTACCTAAGATGATAGGGGTAGTAGCACCTTCATCCATATCCAACACTACAAAATCAACCGGAATGATAAATTTCCCAACCCTCAAAGGAACATCTTCTACCTTCCCCTTTGGAATCTTAATTGATCTATCGGCTAATTGCAAAGTAATCTTGGAAGGTAAAATTTCTCCTAGACCCAATCTTTGATAAACCGAATATGGCATAAGACTAACACTAGCTCCTAAGTCATATAGGGCATTATCAATTTGAGTCTTATTAATGGAACAAGGGATTGAGAAATTTCCGGGATCCTTCAACTTAGGAGGCATCTTATTCATGATTATTGCACTACAATGTTCGGGTAGGCTAATTGTTTCCATCATGTCACATGTCCTTTTTCCACTCAAAATCTCTTTGAGGAACTTAGCATAGTTTGGCATTTGTTCTACAACATCGGTGAAAGGAAGAGTTAGATGAAGTTTCTTAAGCATCTCTACAAATTCCCTAAATTGCTCATCCAATTTGTGTCTATTATACCCTTGGGGATAAGGGAGCTTGGGTTTGTAAAGTTCTTTTTCTTTCTCTTTCACTCTTTCCACTTGTTCCTCATCAACTTTCTCACTCAAAGGACACTCGTCTCCCTCAATTTCAATAGGACTCTTGCTAGTGCTCTCACTAGCATCACTCTTCTTAGGTACTCCACCCTCAAGGACCCTACCACTTCTAGTAACAATAGCATCCATAGGGTTCTTAGAATTTAAGATAGGTGAAGTCAAAGAAGAAGAATCCGCAAATTCCTTAAACACATTAGCCAATTGAGAGAGTTTATCACCCAAGTCTTTATTATAAGTCAACATGTGATTGAACTTCTCATCATTCAAAGCCATGTAAGTTTCTAGAATCTTGGCTTGTTTCTCAATAATTTCTTCCAAGAAATTCCTAAAAGAAAATGGTTGATCATAGGAATCATCACTTAAACCTTGAGTATTTGGAACTAAACCAATTGGGGAACCTCTTTGAAAATTTGCTTGAAAATATCCCCTACTTTGATTATTCCAATTACCCCTAGCTTGATTTTGGCCACTTTGTTGACTATGGTTACCATAACTTTGGTTATGATCCCCATGTCCTCGGCCATGACTTTGTTTATTATAACCATGGTTATTGTAGCTACCATGAATCCCTTGGACTCCATGATTTCTACAACCTCCACTTTGGTTATAATTATCATAGTTCACATGATTATGATAATTCCTATTTCCAACATTTCTGTGAACATCAATTCTAGGTTCACATTCATGATCATTAACGTAATTCACATGCTCAACTTCATATCCATCACATTCATCACAAGGAACATTGGGGCACATAGAAGCATCATGGTCATTCATTCCACATAAATCACAAGGCCAACATTCTCTAATCATGCAACAAGAAGAAGAATTAGAGTTAGGGTAAGAAAGTGTAACTCTCCCCTTAATTTGGGAGGGAAGAATCGGAGCTTGCGAAGGTGGCTTCTCAAGCTTTGCTTTGAGTGATACAACCTCTTTCCCTAAATCCGCAATTAAAGTCATCAAATCATTAATGGCATTGAGTTGTTCGATTGAGAACCCCTCGCTAGTTGGCTCTTTCTCCACTTCTTACCAATTCATATAATGTCGCACCACTTCATCTATTGCATCCACCACTTCTTCTTCCGTTTTGTTCATTATTGGGCCTCCGGCTCCGGCATCTAAGCTTGCTCTTCCATAAGAACTCAACCCACCATAGAAGATTTGTATAATTTGATAGGTAGGAATCCCATGGTGTGGACACTCTCTTTGATACTCCTTGTATCTCTTCCATGCTTCATAGAGACTCTCACTAGGACCTTGCTTGAAATTTTGGATCAAAGTTCTTGATTCCGCGTCTTCTTTTGTGGGAAAAAGAGAGATAAGAAAGCCTTTTTAACCTCATCCCATGTTCTTAAGGACCTTTGTTTGACCTCTTTGTCCAACTACTCTAGAGCTCTTCCAATAAGAGAGAAGGGGAACAACTTGAGTCTTATGTACTCGTGAGCAACTTCGGTTACCACAATAGTATTGCAATACTTCTCAAAATCTTTGAGATGATTGAGAGGATTTTCACTCTTTGTACCTCCATATTGCTGCCTCTCAACCAAAGTAATCATAGCCGGTTTAATTTCAAAATCATGATCCGGACCATCAATGGAACAATTCCACTCTCATACTTGTAAGCTCCCGGAGTGCCTAACTCCTTCAATGTCAATCTTTGAGCTTCTCCCATGTTCACTTGCACACACAATTCTCAAACAAAAATTATTAGTAGCACGGCTACAAATGTATCCTAAAAGAAAATCTTTTTGTATTTTTCAATAAGATGGAATAGACTCAACAACAATACACAATCACGACACCATTACCCGGCAACGGCGCCATTTTGATCGATGGCGAAATGGTAGGTCGTTGGACTACCCTCCCCAACCGGTCAAACAAAATTTATACACTCAACCAACCCCTATACAAGTATAGTAGCAAGTCAAGGGTCGAACCCAAAGGAATAGTGAGTGAATGTCTATTGTCTTGCGCTTAGCTATTCCGAAATCGAAAGTGGGGTTGTAAAGCTAAAACTAAAGCTAATCACAACAAATAGACTTGTAGAAATCAAAGATAACAAACACTAGGGCTAGGATCCACATGCATTCATAATGAAATCAACTAATTTGGGAATTCAATCAATTAAATCAAGCAATGTGAGGGAAAATCAATATTGCAACCAAAAGAGCATATCAAGCTATTCTCCTAGAGGTCTAACTAGTGCCAACTACGATAAACTCTAGCTAGGAAACGTCACAAGATACCTCAATCGTGTAATTGCAAGCCACAAATCAATGGTCCGTATCAATGTGAACTTACAATGTAATCTAGTGTGAATAACTAGGGTGATCAAGCCTAAATCAAACGCACACATTCACAAAACCAATCAACCAATTTAATCACATTATCAACTCAATCAATTTCCCCAAATTAACTTCAATTCATTACTAATACATGCTTCACCATTACCCTAGCAATCAAACTACTCACAATCCATTAAGAACATCAAAATCAAAGCTAAACCAATCAACAAATTCATATTCATCAATTGAAATCATACTAAATCAATCAAACTATTAACAAACTTAATCAATCAACAAAATGAATGAAATCAAACAATAGATTGTGTTCGGGGTATTTTTACCCCCTTTTTATAGACAAATGAGAGGCCAACAAGTGGCCCAATTATAAGCCGACACGTGAAATCCTGCTCAGCTAAATAAAGGCCAATAATAGCATGACACGTGGCCTAAAGAGAGATATCAGAAACTGAAGGGCTCAAGGCCCATTGAGGAAACATGCCTAGCATGAAGGAAACCCTAATACACGTGTCAACCACGTATAGGGCAGCCAATCTTCCTAGGTTATGAAACCCTAGGAGCGTGATCTCCCACTTCCCTATAAATACCCCATAATTTCATGGTGGAAGGGGAGGCACAATGCCCAAAATATGCTCTCACTTCTCTCTACTTTCTCTCTCTAAAATTCCGTTTTCCAGTCACTAACTTGATCGTCGGAGGCGGATCTCCGGTACACCGGAGATCCGTTGTTTTGCAGGTGTTCAGGCCGTACAAGTGTTGCATCCCGGATCTGTCTCCCGCGAGAATCCATACACCCCTTTCGGGTTATCCAAAAAATGCCTGAAACATTTGGCGCCGTTTGTGGGGAGGCACATCTGGAATGGCACTTAGCCATAATCGAACACCTTTTCATGAAGTAGAACTCTTTTGTACAAATGTAACCCATTATGAGGACAAAATTGTAATTCTTTTAGAACGTCGTCAGTCTTAAGAGAATGAGACGAACTCTTGTTTGAAGGATAAGACTTGGGCGGCACTAAAACCCAAAGTCATTATCATTATTATGATTATAAAAAAAAAAAACCAAAAAATCATCAAGCTACATTGTTGGATGTGTGCTTGCGACCTAGTCAAACAACTTGTCAAATGGATAAGCAAAAGCAAGAAGCTCGTGGACACGAGCATAGCTACTCGTACAGGGCAGCCAAGTAGCTTGTACGAGCGAAAATTGAAAAGCTTGTTTATACAAGCATAGCTACTCGTACAGGGCAGCCAAGCAGTCTGTACGAGCCAAAATCGAAAAGCTTGTTTATACAAGCATAGCTACTTGTACAGGGCAGCCAAGTAGCATGTACAAGCCAAAATCTAAAAGCTTTTTTATACAAGCATAACTACTCGTACAGGGCAGCCAAGCAGCCTGTACGAGCTAAAATTGAAAAGCTTGTTTATACAAGCATAGCTACTCGTACAGGGCAGCCAAGCACCCTGTACGAGCCAAAATTGAAAAGCTTGCTTACACAAGCATAGCTACTCATACAGGCTGAGTAGAATGCCAATCAGGGGCACCCTTAGCTAAATTACTCGGCCATGAAGACCACACGGTGGACTCATCCATCCGACCTTATAACGGGCGGCCGGATGAACATTAGGACTTCCTACAAATCGCCCAAGGTATATTTTACCTAAATAAGGCAGGAACACTCCTAGGCGTACAAGCCCTTAGAAATTTGCAAGTTGAGAAAATACTTGAAGTTTCATGAGTACGTCCGAGAGATAGCGTCAAAGGACAACTCAATACCGTACAAATAAAAAATATATATACAAAAGTATATATTCAAAAATAAAAAAGTATATACAAAAGTATATATTAAATAAATAAAAAAGTATATACAAAAGTATATATAAAAAAAATAATAATAAAAAAAAAGTTCCAATTGTATGGCAGTTGACAACTTGGCAGATTATGAAGAAAATGCTTTACATTCATAGGTACATACATAAGTATATTTCTTCCATGAGCATAGTCACGTAAGCATGGTGAACATTTGCATGCATTCATATGCATTAAGAGATATGAAAAGCCAAACATCAACATTAAGGCCGAACAGCAAAAAGAGTAGCTCTTCATGAATTCGACATACAATGCAAGAGAAGCTCTATGAGAAAAGAGTAGTACATATGAGTAAGCTCACACTCAGTCGTCAAGAATGCCGAGCTCCTCATGAGTCATGACGAGTGAATTATCGAAGTTCACCGCTAGGAGCATAGCTACTCGGCTTAATTATTGCCGAAATCCAGTTGAGGGCAATATAAACGAACCTCCATTTAGCTTGTAATCGGCATCCTTGGACGAGTAAAATTACAAAGTATGTTCTTGAAAGTATAGATGGTCTTGTCTCTACATGGCATGGATGGTTGAGCAAGTCCGAGCAAAGATGTCCGAGTTGCTCTCACGCGAAGCTCCATGTTCCGCATTCAATACGACCAAGGTAAGTTGGCCGAGTAAAAAAGCAGAGCAAGCTCCCCAAAGCATAGCAGGTCGGCAAAATTAAAATGCCGAGCAAGTCTTTCAAGAGCAACTAACATTTTATAAGCATACGGCCATCCAAGTGCCGAGCTCGATGTGAGTTTTCAACTATAATGATTGGCTTAATACAACAAGACAAAAACCATGGTGATGAGCAACTCTTGTGAAGAAAATGATGCAAGGCCAAGTATAATTCAATAGCCGGATGAAAATGAAAACCTTGATGGCTTAGAATGCAGCAACCCGGCAAGAGAGCTGAGTATGGAAGGGCAGCTTTCAACTTTGTAAAAGCTAGCAAATTTGGTCATTATAAGCTTGAAGGACGTGTAATTATTATTATATTATAAAATATAATAATATAGTAATATTAATTATTATTATTATTATTTTAAATTGTCTGGTGTAAAGTAGTGTACAAAGATACTACATCTTGATGCTATCAATGGTGGAAGCCGGTCATCGAACGACTAATCTCGCCGAGCCAAATTGCAAAGCTCCACCCTTTCGAGCATAGATACTCGGACAAGGCAGCGACGCGGCATGAATGAGCTACAACCTGGCCGAGTTGCTCTCACGCAAAGCTTAATGTTCTTAAATTGATACGGCCACGGCAGGATGGCCGAGTAAAAAAGCTAAGCATGCCCCTAAAAGCATAGATGGTCGGCCAACCAAAGTTAGGTGTCCGAGTTGCCATCATGCAAGGCTCCATGTTCTAAGTTTTGTACGGCCAAGGAATTCACGGAGCAGCCGAATTGAGCTAGACGAGTGAAATAGGAAACCTCACCCTTGCAAACATAGCAACTCGGCCAAGGCAGCCTGACCGGGTTGCCTACCAAGTAGCCTGCACAATGTCACGGGTCATCTCCCACACCAAGGATGGGCGTCAAGAGGGTCACTAGGCAGCAAGGCAACAATCAGGGCTAGGGGGCTTCCCTTGGTGCTCAGGTAAGCACTTCCCCCTAAAGAGC